TTCAGTACAGAAGTTGAAAACTTGAACAAAATGAAAAGACAAACTGAGAAAAATATTTTCAACTAACATGGCAGAAAAGTTAGTATTTTTACTATATCAAGTCAAGAGCACTTAGAAGCCAATAAAAAAGAAATTAGTTCTCCAAAAGGAAACTGAGAATGGGACACCAAAAGTTATAATTTAAAGAAGAAATATAATTAGTCACAGGCATTAAGATTCAAAATCAATGAAAGTAAAAAATGTAAATTGCAACCATGAAATACCATTTTTCACATAATAAAACGATAATTTCAGTGTTGATGAGAGGGTAATAGGTATCTTAAAATGCTATTTGGAGGGTTCAATGATACAACTCCTCTGGAAGCAATATGGTAATGCATAGCAATGGTCTTATAATGTGTGTGTTTGTTGAATCAGCAATTCAACTTCTAGGAGTCTATACTAATGCAATATTCAACAATATGGCTAAGGATTTTATACAGAGTCAATAAATGTAGCATGTAGTGGAAAACTCAAAAATTGTTTAAATATACCATAATAGAGGAATGAGTAAATTATGGCACATCCATACAATGAAATTGTACATAGGCATTAAAAATGTTTTAAACAGGGGCTGGGGCTGGGGCTCAGTGGTGGAGCGTTTGGCTAGCATGTGTGAAGCACTGGGTTCAATTCTCAGCACCACATAAAAATAAATCAATAAAATAAAGGTATTATGTCCATCTACAACTAAAAAAATATTTTAAAAAATGTTTTGAACATATTTAATGACCTTGGAAAATATTCCCAATACACTATGAGGTGGAAAGAACAAGATATAAAACTACATATACAGTATGACCCCAGTTTTTCTAACATATACATATATATGTAGATAGATAGACAAATACGTAAAATTATAATATTTGCATGTATAAGATTGAAAAGAAATACACAAAAATGTTATCAGGGTTTGTTTCTGAGCGGAAACATGATAAGCAATTTCAATTTTTATGCTTTGGTATACATTAAAAGTTTTTGCCATCAATTTGCACTACATTTATAAGCATGATTAAAAAAATATGATGTGTAAGAATTATTGCAAGAGGGCTAATGTCAGGTAGAACACAAATGACTGCTACTTGTCACTTACAGAGGAGTGTTACCCTCAGTGTCTTGGATGTTTGTGGATGCTTTGTAGTACAGAAGAATATGAATCATCTTCAAGTTACCCTTGGCTGCTGCCCGGTGCATTGCTGTAGCCTCATAATGATCCTTAGCATCTGGATTAGCTCCACCTTCTAGTAACATGACAGCAATCTGGAAAGACAAAAAAGGAAACAATGCAGAGATCCATTTGTGTTTTGCACACATTTAGAACTCAAAAGAATTAGGCTAGGGATGAACCAATACCTCATGCCTGTTTTTAGAAGCTGCATAATGTAGGGGAGTACAGCCATTTTGATTGACAGCATTCACTTGTGCACCTTTTCCCAGGAGCGCCTTTACAATTTCATCCCGGCCAGCAGAAGCAGCAATATGAAGAGGAGACCAGCCTGCCTGTAAGAGGTGGGTCATACAAAAGTCAGAGGCCAAAGGTACAGATATCAACATGAACAGATTTTAAACATTCTTGTTTCCCCGCCATTAAGCATTGTGGAAAACCAGGAAACCAGAATGTGTAAAAAGAAGAATAACCCCAAATCCCATAATATAGACATACTGATACATAAGTCTAATTCTAATGTGCTTTCTCCCATACAAAACTTTTTTTTTTTGGTGGTACTGGGAATTGAACCCAGGGCCTTGTGCATGTGAGGCAAGCACTCTACCAACTGAGCTATATCCCCAGTCCCCCATACAATACTTTAAAAATATATATATATTTAGTTATAGATGGACACAATATCTTTATTTTATTTTTACTGAGGATAGAACCCATTGCCTCATGCATGCGAGGTGAGTGCTCTCCCTCTGAGCCACAATCTCAGACCCCCATACAAAACTTTTTAACATTGAAATTGGGACTGGAGGATATAAATTTCCATGTACATTTTTTGTAATTTCCACTTATAATGCTGGTCATTCTTTGGAATTATACTTTGTTGTTTCTATATTATTTTATCAATACTCACCAAAAAATTCCAACATAATAAAAAGGGTATACAGTCTTTTAGGGGCCATAAGAATAAGGCTTAATTGGTATTTTTGCCCTAAATCACAGAGTATGTGTGACAAATTAACATTCTAAAATAATACAAACACTAGTCTCAGGCTTGATCACCAGAGCTATGCTGTAACTTCCTCCTTTTGAAGGTTGTAATTTTGTTTATGAGCTTAATACTCATGCTTCAGTAAACAACAGTCTGGAGTCGAAAGATAATTGGGGATTTATCAACTGTGTCAAGTACTCACATCATCTTTATCATTCACTGGCACTCCAAGTTGCAGCAAGAACTCAACAATTTCAGTATGTCCGGCTGAACATGCCCAGTGCAATGCAGTTCTGCTGTCCTACATGGGGAACAGAGAAAGACTATAATAAACATTCATGAAGAGAAATAGAAAGCCAAAAGGCAGAAAAAGTAACATTGGTGCTAAAAACAAGAAATGGAGAACACTGGATCCCCAGGTAAGTAAACTTAAAATCTTATCGTCTACTAGTATGAGAGCTTAATTTTATCAATATGGGGTGAATAACATCAGTGAATATAAATAATTCTGGCAGAGTACAGCAATGAAAGCAATAGAGCTAGAAACTTATTCCAATGCTTTAGCAGAATGGAGCTTTGACAATTTATTACTACATTACTTATGTACCTGTATGTCAGACACTGTGTTAGAAGGTATATATGCATCATCTCATTTTACCACCCCCATCCTATACACTAGCTATTATCAGCTTTTACAGATAAGGAAACAAAGACTCTTTAAAGCCTACCTATTTATCTAAGGTCACACAACTTATCCAAATTCTGTCTAACTCTGAAATCTCTACTACTACACTGAACTCAAGTTAGATGTTCTAGAAAGAACCAATGAATCTTATGGGGGTGAAAGTGTTTCTAAAACTAGTTGAGATTATCTATATGATCATTTTTAAAAACATTACCCACAAATTAAAAAGTAACAAAATGTTTTTTTTTAAATTTTATTTATTCATTGGTATGTGGTGCTGAGGATCGAACCCAGTGCCTCATACATGCCAGGTGAGCGCTCTGCCACTGAGCCATGACCTCAACCCGAAAAATGTGTTTTTAAAAATAACTAGGATTTAGTCCTGTTTCTCAAAGAGAATCACTATTTACATTATTATATTTCTTAGTTGGCCCTGTGTAATAGAAAGTGGTATTATTGTTTATTTTTTGCAGTGGCAAGGATTGAATCTAGGGCCTTCTGCATGCTAGGCAAGAACTCTATATGAGTAGCTCTGAAATTAGTAATATTTTGCCACATCTGCTTCATCTAGTTTCCCTCAATTACAATCTCTATCATGACTCTTCACTCCTATTTTGGCACTTAAAATATAAAAAAGTATTTTCTTACATAACTACAATACCACTATTATACTTATTAAAATTAACATTAACTCCTTTATATGATCTAATACTCAGTGTGTATTCAAATTTCCCCAGTTGTCTCCCAAATATCTTTTTGCAGCTTATTTAAAATAAGGATTCAAACAAAGCCCATAATTTGCATTTGGCTACTACATTTTTTTATGTGTTCTAATTCTAAATAGCCCCTCTCTTCACCTCCCCCCACCCATTTTATGCAACTGACTAGATGGTTAAATTTTTAATGGAGTATTATTAAATCTCAATATGCATTATTTTTATTAATTTAATAATTATTAATTAATTTAATAATTATTGCCATGTCACAATGAAGGCACACTAGGCAAATGTAAGGGAATTTTCAGGTTGGGTAATAAAGGAAAGTTCCAGAAAAGAGAAAACAGTCTTCCTTATTTTGAATTATCTTCCAAAAAGATACAAAATAGAATATTTTAAATATGGGACACTGTCTTACAGAAGGCAATCTATCTATATATTTGTTGCCCTACTGGGGGGAACCATGAATCTTTGTAGAAATTCAATGAAAGCATGAGGGTCCTTTGAACAAGGGAAAAGAAAGAAACGCTTCCCAATAGTCTATTCATTTTTGTTCTGTTTAAAAGGCGCATTCATTCACTATGGAAATCCCACTCTTTCAAGGTCTAACTTGTTTTATCTTTTTCAAAGCCTTTTCTAATTATCACGACATTTGCATCAGGTCTTCCCATTACATGTTCTGAAAGTACCATGTAAACTTCTTTCCCATTTATTTACCATTTGCAACCAGACATATGTTTTTGTAGTTATTTTATTAATCGACTGTATACCCAGCTCCTAGCAAGCTTCCTGGGGCAGAAGAGTCGTTCAGTCAAACGTGTTCCACTAAATACAATCACTAAGGGTAAAGAAACCCACAAAATAAAGCTTTCCTCCTCACGTACATCTCAAAAGACAGTGCATTTCTGAGAAATGCGGTAGACATTCTAGAAATATCCAAAATTCAGCGAGCTAAGCTCCGAGCCAAAAAAAATATTTGAGGTCTGCCTGGCTAGCTCCGGCAGCCCGAATATGAGTCCTGAGGTGACCCCGGGGCGCGGATGGGGAGGAGAGGGCGGGGATCTGCCCCTCGTGGAACCGGCCTCTGCTTGGCCCAGGCCCGGGAAGACGTGTAAGGCTGCGGGCAGGCCCTAGCGCTGCTTTACCTGGTCAGTTCTAGTAGCCAGTGATTTATCGGCCAGGATGCTCTCCTTCAACTCCTCCAGCTTCCCGCTGTAGGCCAGGTTGCAGACCATCAGGTTAGACACACACCCCTCCATTTCGCTTCCCCAGGATCTCGGTGAAGCGCAAGGGACTCCCGCCTCAAGTCCCAGGCTCCTGCTGCCAGTCAGGAGAGACTAGAGATCCACCAATCACCACTTTTCTCGTTCCCTTGTTTCTTTTTCCACCGCGTGGCGATTCTGGGAGTTGCAGTTTGAAAGCAGTTCCGGGCAGGGAGGCGACTTTCCTGTCCTCACGGACTCGGCCTCTAGCAGTGAAAAACTACAAGTCCCAGGGTCCCTTGCGACGGCCATAGTCAAGTTGCCGGTGGAATTGGCCCAGGATGACAGCTGGAGAATGGAGTCAGGTACGGGGAGCGGCTTCGTGTGGAACTCTGTGAAAGAGCTGGGGTGGGTGGTCGCTGTTGGGGCATTGAGTCGGCCACAGAAATCGGTTGCAGAGGCAGGGCAAGAGAGTTACGGGAGCCTAAAGGTGCTGTCCCTCGGGGGGCCCTGACCTGCACTGGCAGGCGGAAGGGACAACAGTTGGAGCTGAATACAATCTCCAGAGCTGGAACCAGTGACTGTGGTTACCCTCCCCCTCCCCGCCACCGCCCCAGGAGTAGAAAGAAGTAGGGTTTAATTATTCTGACATCTCAGAGGAGTGGCATCAGAGCAGGGTTCTGCTCTAGTAGTGATAGCATATAACATCATTCTAAGATGATGTGCCAGTGTGATGCCAAAGGCAGGGTGTGATGCCGTGGGAGCCACTTGATATCTAAGAGAACTCAGTGAGTCCTTAGCCTGGTGACATCATTACTTAATGAGGGTCCTCTTAGGGATACAGTGGTATGGTGTTGGCATTTTAATATCACGATAATAACTATGGCATCGAGGCTTTACTACAACTATTTAAGTTAATAGTGTTTCTTTTTATGGAAATTTCAAATAGTGCCAAAGCAGAAATGATGCAAGGCTTATCCTTTATAGGGCATATCCAGAAGGGCATTATGCCCAAACTAGGTAATTATAAGAATGAATACATTCAGGAAAGAGATTGGTTGTATTTATGTTTATCCTGTTATGGTGTAGAAGAGGGCTTACTTAGTAAACTCTCTGTTAAAAAAAAAGTAAATATTTTAGGATTTTCGGGCCAAAAGGTAAAATCGAGTATATTTTATAAGCATTTATATGACAAGAGAAGATTAGTTTTGACAAATGTTCATTGATGAAATTCAAACTATAATAATAACTTTTTTGTAACATAGGACTACTAATGAGAAGAATGGAATTCTTTTGGGGATAGCATTTTGCTTAATTGGGGTTCAAAGTTGGTGTTCCTTATCATCAACATTGACTCCAAATGTATCTATTAATGCTGATCTGTGATGAGATTTTATCTATTTCATCTTTGAAAATGTCTTTTCACACAAATAGGTACTGCCAGATACTGATATTAGTCCATGAACATAAATTTTTATTTAAATACATTTTTAAAATTTCACAACAGCTTTGGATTTATAAAAAATTTTGAAAGATAGTACAGAATTCCCATTTATCTTTCACCTAGTTTCCCCTGCTGTCTTTTCTGTTTTAACAGCTTTATTGAGGTGTATTTACATATCGTAAAATTCACCTATTTCAATTTTATAATTAAATGATTTTAGTGAGTTTACAGAGTGATGCAGCTGTCACTATAAATAAGGAATAGAACACTTACCTTCCCAATAAGATCTCATGTCCATTTACAGTTTATCCTCATTCCCACTCCAGCACAGGCAACTAATAAATCTATTCTTGTCTCTATAAATTTGCTTATTCTTTATACCTCATGTAAATGAATCATGTAGTGTATGGTCTTTTGTGTCGGGCTTCTTTTATGTAGCCTGTTTTTGAGGTTCAATCATGTTGTAGTATATATAAGTACTTCCTTAATTTTTATTGCAATTAGTATTCTATTTTATGGATATAACATGTTTTTGTTTATTCACTAGCTGACAGATATTTAAGTTGCTTCCAATTGTTGGCTATTATGCTGCTGAGAGAATTTGAGTGCAAGACTTTGGGTAGATATGTTTTCATTTCTCTTAGGTAGATACCTAAGAATGGAATTACTGGATCATAGGGGATTTTTTTTTTTTTTTTTGGTGCTGAGGATTGAACTCAGAAGTGCTTAATCACTGAGCCACATCCCCAGCCCTTTTTAATATTTTACTTAGATACAGGATCTTCCTAGTTGTTTAGGGCCTGACTGAGTTGCTGAGGCTGGCTTTGAACTCGAGATCCTCTAGCCTTGGCCTCCCGAGTGACTAGGATTACAGGCATGCACCACTGAGCCTGGCTAGATCATAGGGAAATTTTATATTTAACTTTTAAAGAAATTGCAAAACTGTTTTTCAAATAGCAGCACCATTTTGCATTTCTACTAGCAATGTACGTTGGTTCCCATTGTTCCACATTTTCAGAAACATTTGTTATTGACTCTATTTTCTATTTTAGCCATTCTAAGTAGGTGTGAAATATCTCATTGTATTTTAAATTTGTTTCCTTAATGACTAATGACAGTGGGCATTTTTTTCAAATGCCTTTTAGTCACTGATATGTCTTCCTCGGTGAAGAATCTGTTCATATCTTTTCTCATTTTAAAATTGGGTTATCTTTTCTATTATTGAGTTGTAAAAAGTGTTTATGTATTCTAGAAACAAATCTCTGACAGTATATTATATATAAATATTTTCCCCCAGTGAGCTGTTTATCTTCTCCTTTTCTTTAATATTTTTTAGTTGTAGATAGACACAATACCTTTATTTTATTTATATTTTTGTAGTACTGAGAATTGAACCCAGTACCTCACATGTACCAGGCAAGTACTCTACCACTGATCCACAATCCCAGACCCTATTTTCCTTGTCTTGAAGGTGTCTTTTGAAGTGAAAAAGTTTCAAATTTTGATGATATCTTACTTATAATTTGTTTATTTTATGGTTCATGCTTTTTTTTAAACCTAAGAAGTCTTTACCTAATCCAAGACCTCAATGACTTTCTCCTATCTATTCTTCTAGACATTTTATTGTTTTTTTCTCATATTTAAGTCTATGATTCATTTTGAGTTAATTTTTCTATATGGTATGTGGTAAAGTTCTAAGTTCATATTTTAATGCTTATAATCAAGTTATCCCAGCAACCTTTGCTGAATATCTTTTTTGTATTTGTCACAACTGATGAACACACATGGGTATATTACTATTAACTGTACTCCACACTTTATTCCAGTTTCACTAGTTTTAAATCTGAATGGTGTCCTTGGTACAATATTACACTCAGGCATTCTGTCTCTTTAGGCTCTTTTGGTACAATTGTTAAGGTTTCTTAGACTTTGCTCATTTTTATGGTCTTAAATTTTTTATGTGTACTTGTCAGATACTTTGTAGAAAATTCTTCAATTTGGATTTCTCTGGTGGGTTTCTTGTGACTTATACTGGGAGTTATATTTTTTGGATGAAGTCTGAAGAGATGAAGTGACATTCTCATCATAGATTATTAAGGGTACATAAGCATATGATTTTAATTGAGCCTATTCATTGTGTGGAAGAGAATTCTATTAGATTCATCATTCTCTTAATATTTACCTTTTAGCATGTCATTATATTGCAAATTAATAATTTTCACTTGAAAGTTAGGTGAAAACTCCTCAAATGAACATTTAAATGAATTCTGGAATATGAAAATATCCTTTGTGCTTGCTCAAGGTCCAAAAACTGTTGTTGAAAGTTTGAACTCAGAAAATATATATGTGGCAAATTTGTATGGAAATGGAGATCATGTTTCTTGTCTTAACATTTTTTTAAGGTCAGCTTTAGGACACAGAAAATTTCACCCTTGCTAGATGAAAAGTTTAATACACTTGTTTATAAATATATACTGTTCTGTATACTGTATTGAGAATAATAGAAATATCTATTTCTATCATTCTCAAGCTTCTCTCCCCACAACTCCCAGTTCTTGACAACAACTAAAGTGATTTCTGATACTAGTTTTTTTAAGTGTACAATTTAATGATTTTAAGTATTTATCAAGTTATGTTGCCATCAGTATAATATTTTTATATTTATTTATTTATTTTTATGTGGTGCTGGTGATCAAACCCAGTACCTCACATGTGCGAGGCAAGTGCTCTTCCACTGAGCCACAACCACAGCCCCTATCAGTACAATATTATTTCATCATTTACATCACCCAAGTGAGACCTTGTGCCTATTTTCAGTTACTTTGCATTTCTACCCCAAACCCTAGGCAACTACTCATCTGTTTTGTGTCTATAGATTCTTATTTTCTGTATTTGTAACAGAATAATACAGTATGTAGTCTTTTATGTCTGGCTTTTTTCATTTAGCATAATAATTTTGATATTTATCCAAATTATAGCTCATATCATTACTTCATTGTTTTCATGGTTAAATAATATTTCATTTTATGGATCTAACACATCCTTTTTATTAATTCATAAGTTTATGGGCATTTGAATTGTTATCACCTTTGAGATGCTATGAATAATGCTGCTAATAAACAGTTGCATACAAATTTCTATGCAAGCACATGTTTTCATTTCTCTTGTGTTCATATCTGGGAATGGAATTGCTGGTCATATGTTATCTATATCTATAGTTTATGGTAGCTATGTTTTATATTTAATTTAAACTTGTTATTAGTTTTTGAGGAACTGACATACTATTTGCCAAAGTGGCTATATAATTTTTTAATTTTTTTTTAGTTGTAGATGGACCCAATACCTTTATTTTTTAATTTATTTCCTCATATGTGGTGCTGAGGATGGAACACAGTGCCTCACACATGCAAAGCAAGCACTCTTCCACTGAGCTACAATCCCAGCTCTTGGCTATACCATTTTTTAAAAAAAAATATTTTTTAGTTGTTGATGGACTTTTATTTTATTTGCCTATTTATATGTGGTGCTGGGAATTGAACCCAGCGCCTCACACATACAAGGCAAGCACTCTATCACTGAGCTAAAACTCCAGCCCCTATGACTATACCATTTTACCTTCCCACTAGTAACTTATTTGGGCTCAAAGTTCTCCACATATTTACAAATACATACTTTCTTTTTATTATACTCATTTTAGTGGGTATGAAGTGGTATCACATTTTTGTTTATTGTTATGATTTGTCATATCATAGGAAGTATATAAAGCATCTTGATATTACTTGTAATTAAATGTTAATTGTTAAAATGACTTTACTATGATGTAAGTTTCACATATACATTGTTTTGCCTTGTAATTTTATGTTGAATTAATTAAAAAGCATTTGAAGTATGCAGCAAAAGCTATATTTACAAAGCCATTCA